ATCTAACCACCACGCTTTGATATTCAATAGTGTTACCATCACTGACTCCTGCACTTTCAGCATCCTGGGGGTTATCATTAACCAGAAACTCAACTGGACTTGCCACATAAACATTGGCTACAAGAGCAGGTCAGAGGCTAGGGATACTGCAGTGAGTAAGTCACCTCCCGACTCCCTCAAGTCTGTCTATCATCTACAAGACACAAGTCAGGAGTGAGATGGAATACTCCCCACATACACCAACAACATTCAAGCAGCTTGACACCACCCACAACAAAGCAACACTCTTGACTGGCACTACATCCATAAGCATTTACTTCCTCCACCACCAACATTCAGTTCACACTGCTACTACCATCTACAAGATGCACAGCAGAAATTTTCCAAAGACCCTCAGACAGCACCTTCCAAACCTATGACTATGTCCATCTAGAAAGACAAGGGCAGCAAATACGTGGGAACACCATCACCTTCCTGTTCCCCAAGCGACTCACCATCCTGACTTGGAGATATATCATTTCTTCACTATCGCTGGGTCAAAATTGTGAAATTTCCTCCCTAATGGTATTGTGGGACAACCTACAACATGCGGACTGCAGCAGTTCAAGGTGGCAGCTCACCACCACCTTCTCAAGAGTAACTAGGAACGTGCAATAAATGCTGGCCCGCCAGCAACGCCCACAAACCACAAATTAATTTTGAAAAAAATATCACAATTCTCAGATGGAATTCTATCTCACTTACTTTAAGTGACTGTATCCTTAGGTTATAACTATGCCCCCTAATGCGAGATTCCCAGCTTTCTTTTGAATTACTCCAATGCTAGTAGATTACTTCTTCAATACAGGGACCAAAATTGTATTCAGGTTCTGCCTCAACAACACCCTACACATTTGTAACTTCCAAGTTTTTGAAATCCAACTCCAAGCAATGAAAACCAAAATTCCATTTGCCTTCATTACTTGCTGTATCTACATACTAACGTTTTGAGCACTGTGCACAAGAACACCCAGAACCCCCCCATGTAACGTGTTTTTGGAATCTCTCCTAATTTCAATAATACTCTACCCTTTGATCCTTCCAACTGAAGGGCATGACTGGCACACACTCCAACCTTAAACTCTATCTGCCAAGTTTTTGCCCACTCACTCAAACCCTCGCTGATTTTTCGTAATTTTGTTTTATCATTTTTGGAGCTGTGAGCTGAAGGTGACCTTCAGACTGTGAGCAGCAGCTTATTTTGAAGCAAAAACAAAAACTCATATTTGTTTGTGAGGCCACTCCTGGTAATTAATTGCGGGTTGATTTCTGTTTACATGCTCCATAGACAGTTTAACTTGGAGAGGCATTATGCTTCAACAGATGGCATATGCTGAATAAACAGGGTCCTCCATATGGAGACAACCAGTCTAACCACGAGAAACCGAAGCTTGAACTGCTTTTTAAACCATATGCATGTCAGAATGATTTTGGCTACCATAGCTACAAGATGGGAGATATGATTGCTCCCTGGTTGTCCTCCCATTATCAACCTTTTGAAAGCTTGGGGAATAAAATCTCAATTATTAAAATTAACTAAATGTTCCTTGGAGCCCTTTAGAAACTATCTGCATGCATCAGTGTCTTCAGAAACCAAGCAAGATACAATCCCTGCACGTGTTTACAGATGTTATGGATCACAAAGTATGTTCAGGAGAACTGGCCAGTTACATCTCATTTTTTCCCTTTTGAGTTAGCCCTTAAATACATCTGACTTTGAGAGAATGGGGTGCTAGAGTCAAAAAAGATTGCATTTAAAATCATTCAATTAAATTAGATTATATGCAGCTTAACTCTACTAAAGCTCCAGTATTATTTATAAATTGTTATATCTTTTGTTTAAGTTATCAACTGCGTGCCTGTTATTGGTTATTCACAAAGTCTGGTTAGAAAGCATTTTGGGTGAATTCAGGGTCACTGGAAATTTTACTGTGTTGTGAATGCAGAGATTTGGCTACTGATTTGATTCAGCTGTCTGTCTCTTGTCGTGACAACCCCTTGTAGATTCCTTACAACGTGCTCTCTCAGCTATGTTTTTCAACAGCAAATTTGGATACATTATATTCTGCCACCCCACCATGAAAGTCAATACTATAGGTAGTAAATAATCAAGGCCTCACAGCACTTCACTACTTATGCCTTCCCAACCTGAAAGACTGCCATTAACTCCAATTGCCTTCTGAGTGTTAACTAAACTTTAATCTACACTAATAGTGGTAGTGACAGTCCTAGCTTGTGCAATTTTTTTTTGTGGCACCTTACAGGATACCTCCTGAAAATACCTCAAAGTCTGACCAGGTAAGGATGGTAGATTTTGCTCCCTGAAGAAAAAATCCTCTCTTTTCTAAAGGGCATTAGTGAACCAGATGGATTTTACGAACATCCAGTGGTCACCATGAGCTTAGTATTTTTTTTTAATTCCAGATATCTGTTGAATTGAAAAAGTTCACTACCTGTCATGGTGGGAGACAACCAGGTGCCCCCTCAATGACTTTATATTTCTCAAACTATGCACAGTGATTGCAAGAAAGCTAGTACTTGTTAACAACTTATGATTTAAGGGCCCTCTTGTGGCACAGTGGAAGCATCACTACCCCTGGGCCAAGACAAAAGAGTTCAAGTCCCACCTGCTCTTGAGGTGTATAATAACATGTTTGAAAAGGGTGCTTAGAAAAATAGGTTAAATAATAAAGAGAAAAACAAATTAACACGTCTCCTCAGACCACTGCATAGCCTGGTCTAACATTTCTCAGGGAAGTAAATAAAACTTATCAACGGATATAGGTACCTCAGGTTCTGGATTATGAGTTCAGTAACATTACCACTACATAACTGCTTCCCCTACGGTTTACTGATGGAAAAAAGACTTGCATTATAGCAAGAATCTACAATGCTGCCAACCAGCTGAAAGCATGACGGTCACATTGTTGTAAACGTTTACATAATTTGGCATGATTTAAAGGGACTAAATCGATGATATATATGGCCAAACCCTATTCAAATTTGCTTGTCTTGTGTCATTGCTTTCACAAATACACCAGAAACATCAACAATCTCTAATTAAAGCCAAAGCCAACTGAAATCATTAAATATCTTTAAGTCACAAAGTTAGAAGAATGAGGGTTAAAAGACAGTTCAAACTGAACAACTTTACCCAAGGGTAAAACAGACAGGCAGGGTGACTGCGATGGCTGATTGCTTCAAAAAAAAAAAATTGAGTTGGCTATGATTCATGAAAAGCATCTAACTGGACTATGAAAAATACCACGGAATGCAACACAGACTTGCATTAAAAAAAAATTTTCATGGACTTTTTCATTCTACTTTTGTATATGTAAATATTCCAGACATTTACAATACATGGATTAGATCTCAACAGCAGATGTAAGATCAATCCTCAAAGCACAGCAAAATCATAAGGAATCGAGTTCACCTGTAGTAATAGGTAGCTGGACAAATTCAAGTCAAGAAATAGCACTGCTTTCTGCATGTTAAGTGCTAAGGGTGCAGCAGTTATGGCAGCAGTAACAGATGTTTGGTTGCAAACTGATTTTGCCCATATGAATGAGTAATGCACCAAAACACATTTTTCACACAGCTGAAACCAGAATATTTTACCGTCTTTAACTAGATGGCTCTTTAAATGTTTAAAGGTAAAATGTGTAATGGTGGAAAGCAAAGCAAAGAACGTGTCACTGCATAATCTGTACTAACATCTCTCAGGAAAGTGAACATAACTTATCAACAGATACAGACGACTGCTTCATGAATCCAGAAAATTCCAGCCTTAAGAGCATAAATCTGCCATTGCCTCCCAACTTCTTGGCCAAGCTCTAGCCATTGGATCAGGGGCAATTAAGAACTTCAAAAAAAAAAATGACCAATGGCAGCTGAGTTTCAAGTTAGAGACCATTGATAAGAAGCAAGAGAACAACCCAACTGTTCTAACAGCCATGTTCATGATGGAGGAGGCCTGGAAGATGGTAACAGATACCATAGTTGACATCTGCTTCTACCATGTTAGATTCAAAGATGCTACAATAACACAATAAATAACAATGCTGATCATGAGGAACAACAAGGTGAAGGCTAACCAACCAGATGACAAGGTTCATTTTTCTTGCATGTGGGAAGCTGGCATAGTTAAGTCCAGCAGAAGCAACCACAGAAGCTTCCAATGAGGTCAATGGCACCATATATTCCACAACAGAACTGACAAATAGATGCAGTACATTCTTCAACTCCAGAGGCCAATGACTCTGATATGTTCAATGAAAGCCTGCTGCTCACCAGGCTACTTCCCCAGTTGAAGCTGCAAAGGGTGAAGAGATGCTCTAGGATTTCACACTGCAGCATGAAAACACTGAAAACATGCCTGACTCTATTGGCAACATGGCAGATTGTAGCACACTGATCTAAAGACAGCAGCCAAACACAAACAGATGAGTTTTTCACAGTAACTCCCATTTTTAAACACCTCTTAGTGTAAAGAGTCAGGTGTGAACAAATGAAATGTAATGTCACATTTATTGTTTCATTGTTTGTGCAATGCAAGCCAGTCTGTAGCTGTTAGCTGACAAGTGTAAAGAGATTGCATTTTTTCAAACCCACAACAGTCTGAAAATCCACTAATATCAAAATCCACAAGGTTCTAATGACAAATATACATAATGAAAACCCTGTGTTTAACTAACCAAGCTGCTTAAGTGATTAAACTGGTTACTATCCTTTCCATACCCAAAGATTCTTTCTTGCCCGTGAGAGTAAGCTATCCCCAACTCCCAGGTCTAATTTAAATCTAAGAACAGCACCAGTGGCAAAAAAAAAATCAATTTCACAGTGGAAGATACTACCAGATTCTGAAAAATGAAAGAGAGATTTTCAAAGTACTTTCCATCATGACATCCACAAAGCACCTAAAAAGATATTGCACATGTCAAAGTGCTTTATGCTATACTTACACAGGTGCCTGATACTGCTCCATTCCCACTTTGGCAAATAATTCCTCTTCAGTGTCAGATTCGCCACCAGAACTGCTCTCTGTAACATCCGAATCAAACGCATTCTCACTGAACCGTAGCTTTGAGTCAGAGCTTGAAACAAATTTTTCAATCCCTTTAGACACTGAACTGCTCTTAAAGAAGTTTGCCAATGTTTCCGAAACATTTTCACCTCCCTTGCGTGAGGTAGAATCTGATTTACAAGTGAAAGCCAACTGCTGATTTCGCAGTGACCCATCCTGACGTTTCAGACAGTCAAAATTGGGAAGTCTGTGTACAGTTTTGTCCACAAATCCTCCAAGTTGCTGTTGGACGTGACGCTCCACCTGCTTTGCCTGAACAACTTCGAGTCTTTTCCGAAGCCTACAAGCCCTTCTTTCAATTTCACTTTGCCTAGTCTGAGCCAGCAGCGTCCTACTATGAACCTCAGTATCCAGAATGTTCATGGGACTTGGTTTTGAGGCAAAAGACTTGCACTCATCAGAATTAGCAGAAACTGCACTTACTGAGCCTCCTGTTGAAAATAAAGGCTCAGTATTAACAATACCATTTTCTCCAAATTTTGGGTGTCTGATGGCCCCAGATTTGGATAAATCCTCTGTTATAGGGTTTAATTCTTCCGAAGTGTTTTGTTCTCCTGCCACTTGCCCTGTTGTTATATTGCTATTCAAAGCCAATTTGCTCGAATCTTCTACTTGGTTGGACCCAATGTGTGGCAGTCCTGGGGAAACTGCCTTTCCCACAATTTCGGCACTATTCAGATCAGAATCTGAGCGTATATTAACAGCAGGCTTCTTGGCCAAGCCATTGACTGGTGGTTGTGGGGGTGAGGGCAGTGAAGGCTGGTTACTACTTGCACTCATTGTTTTCAAAAGGCTAGGAGAAAATTCCAAGGCAGGTTGCCCGTCAATCAGTTCTGCCCTAATCACACCTGTGTCCAATAATGAATGCGACAGTATGGTATGAGACTTGATGACTGCGTGCTTGCTGAAAGATCCTTGTAGTTTCACTGATTCTGGGGGAGGAGGTGGACGAGATGCTGCATCAAGACAGCGGTACGGGGATACCAATTTGCAGTGATCTTCACTCCGGGAGTTATTCCGAAAATCGCGACTGTGGTCGTCTGCAAAGGCTTTCCTTTTCGAATTGTTAAGGGAATTGCTGTTGTCACGGTCCGTTGTGCCTGATGGAGAGAGGGAGGAAGATGGCGCCGCCAGCTTGAATCTATGGTGAGCTTCAGTTGCCGCTTCTGTGAGAGCGGGCGCCATCGCAGCCATGCAGCGCTGAGACCCAGACACACTGGCCTCTCCAACCACAGAGGCCAGCTCCACTCCCTCCTCCTGCTGCTAGCCTGTAATGAAACAAAACAAAAGTTAGAACCCCATCACAAACACTTATTGACATATCCTTCAATACCAACTATTCCTTCTTATTCACAATATCATAAATACAGTATTATTTTAGACAGAAAACTCCTCAGTTTCCACATATCTTTTTGTATTATTGATTCCAAATTACAGGATAATTCAAACATTTACTGCAAAACAAAACTGAATTCTGTGGACTACTGGATTAAGTGATACTCTCCTTCAAAAGACTATGAAATGGTCACTGAATATCAAGAGGTTAACAAATCAGAAATGATTGCGTCAAAATATCAAATTCATTCTGCACTAAAATCACTGTAGCAAACTGTGCTGCAGGGTCTTGTTGGTCAATAGGGATAGAAAATGTGCAAGACAGCACTCTCAAAAATAAGCGTGGGGAACATAATATTATTACAACAATTCCAGTATTACCTGAAATTTTGCACCCTGGCTGAAGATAACAGAGGCCATGAGCTTCAAGCAACTAAGCCAAATAGAATTTAGCACCAGACTTTTCATATTAAAATAAACACTGCTTTCTCAAGACAATTTTTAACTTCCTCTGCTTCAAAAATCACTATTGCGTTGCCGAATTAAAATTATTTAAAAAGATGTCAGGGAAAAGAAAATATCTTACAATACATTACTAACATTATTAACACTGAGATCACATGATGGTGCCAAGGGTGGAATCACACACACAAGCCACGGCTCAATGTTCTCCTCTCCTGAGAGCGCTAACCGATCTTTGGTTCTGATTATATTTTCTAGAGCACCCTGCCCTGCACAAATAAAATTATGTATAAACTTGCATGTCTTTATCTTGAGCTGACTTCCTCTCACAAGGTTCTCATGATGAGGTGGTAACATTTTTTTAAAATTGCATTCACTTTCTTGAATATAAATAATTTGATGTTCGATGCCTTCCCATGTCTCATTCACATTAATTATTCCCGAGAAAATTTTGATAATTGACTACTTGTCAGATAGAAGAGTGAACAAAAGTGAAAATGCTGACTGATTTCCCAAACCCTTCCAAATCATGAGCGACTTCAGCAAGTTCAGCACAGTGCTCTTTCAGACAAAACCATTCCCTATCAGGAACAAGAACAAAGTTGCTGGAGAAGCTCAGCAGGTCTTGCAGCATCTGTGAAGAAAAATCAAAGTTAATGTTTCAGGTCCAGTGACTCTTCCTCAGAACTCACTATCAGGAGGTGGGGGCAAGAAAAAAGAAACATTCAAAGGGCTAACTTTTGTGTCATCTAATATTCTATGAAGTTTTCATCACCAAGTAAAAATTTCATTTTTTTTCTTTGAATACATCATAAACTCTGGACAAGCTGTTTACAAATTCCGAAACTTTTCCAGGTATTCTGTGACTCATGGTAACCCTGATCCAAAGGGCAACATATCTGACAGTGCACACAGGTGTGGAAGGACATTCTGACCTGCATAAAGTGACAATGGCTCGAACCACAACCCCAGTCAGGAGGTGAGGAAGGACAAAATTTGAAAGCTGAAATTGCTGGTTAAAAACAGCCACATCATTTTGATCCCACAGGATTCCAAGTGACCTGCATGAATTGATCCAGCCTGGCTTGCCCCAGATGCTCATTGATAGGCTTCACCAGGTATATCCTCAGATTCTGGCTCCTCCAACTCAATCATACAGCTAATAACTTCATGGATCTTGAGCCAGGAATCCCAGGTTCAAGTTCCACCTGCTCCATTGATATATAATAACATTTCTGAACAGGTCAACTAGAAAATACCTGCAGCTGGTATCCTCCTTCTAATGTTTCTTCAGGACCTTGCTGTACACCACTTATAATTTCTGAAGTTATGTTCTCTAGCCCTTTTTTATCTGGAGAGCAGAAAAGCTCAGGAAAATGCAGGAACCATGAAAACAAGGAGCGATGGTCAGCAAACATGTCAGCACATAACTGGTAAGCAAAACATACTGCATATCCAGTAACTGCAAGGAATAGAAAAAGCCAAAGCAGCTTTTGTTCCTAACTGAATGTGGTTAGAGGCCCACCCCAAGCAGGTGGGTATTTGCTTGCCTGCTTTGAGAGATTGAAGCTCACATTCCAAAACATCAAATGATCTGTAACCCAAACTTCCACTGTATTAAAAACTCGGGGCACATATTGATGACCTAGATTAAGTGTAAAGAGTCAAGAAAGACAAGAAGGATTCGAGAATTATGGAAGAAGCTGTTCTGACTCAATTGGAAATCAACTTTCCAATCAGAAATGTAAGTAAGGTGATCGGAAAAAAAATTGCAGCTTAAAATTCAAGCAGGTAAAATACCAAGCTGTCAATTTTAAAGAAATTTGCTGTGTTCAAGTTTAGACAGCATACATGATCTGTAGTTTCAGTTTTACAGATTGTTCTACAGAAACTTGCCCACCGTGGCTTTGGACATGGAATGAAGGCAGAGACCATTTATTATTATTAAGACCTCAACTGACATTTTAACAAAGCTACAACAAAACCACAACACAGCAGATGCTAAAAACCTGAGATCAGTATAGAAAATGCTGGAAATACTCCAGTCATACAGCATCCAAAGAAGGGAGTAGCATCAAGAGCGAGAAAAGCAGTGAACATTTTAAATGAGGATACTTCATCATTGAAGCAGGCTCAAAATGGCTTACGTGTGTTCCTATTTTCCGTGTTTCTGTCAGAACGGAGGAAAGACAAATGCAACAGATTTTGAGCAAAGTGGAAAGGGAGGATTAGGAAGAGCAACAGGGAAGGCCTGTGAAGCAGTTTACAAAAAAATTAAACGACGAAAGGTTTCACAGCATAGAAATCAAAGACAGTTTTAATTATCAGTGCCAGGGACCTGGCTTTGATTCCGGTCTTGGGCGACTGTGTGGAGATTGCATGTTCTCTCCATGCCTGCCTGGGTTTCTGCCAGGTGCTCCAATTTCTTCCAAAGAAAGTCCAAAGACATACAGGTTAGGTGAATTAGCCACACTAAATGCGGGGTTATGGGGCACGCGTTTGGGGAGGGCGGGTGGAATTTGGGTGGAATGTTCTTTGGAGGATCATTGCAGACTCTAAGGGTTGAATGGCCTCTTCTGCACTGTAAGGATTCAATGATTCTACTGTACACAGTTTAGGTCTCTGTTTCAAGAAAGGACTTGATTGTATTAAACGCAGTTCAGAGAAGGTTCACCGTACTCATTCGTGGAAAAGGTGATTCCAATGAAACATAGACAGAGATGGTGGCAGGGTGACCAGGGGTGAAAACTGAATATCTAGCAGCATTCAGTTTTTGCAAAGGACAAGCAAAAAGGAACCCGAAATCGGTTGCATTTTGTTTAAAGAGGAAATTAATGCAACAGCGAGGAAGGATATTAGCTCCAGTGAAGTAGAATCTCTACAGAGCAGAAAACTATAGCGGGGTCGGGTACTGACCCAAAACTGTAGTGGTAATGTTAGGCGTTAAGCAGGAAATTAGAGATGCGAGCAATAAAGGTACAACGGTCATTATTTACAACTTGAATCTGCATAAACATCCAGGCTAATCGAATCAGTAACAACACCTTAAAAGAGTATTTAAGGAGAGCGCTAGGTTTTCTGGATCATTTTAAGAATCAAATAGAGAATAGACCAGCCTAGCCTGGTATTGTGTAATATGAAAGGAATAATTGTCAATCTAGTTGTGAGACCCCCCTTTGGGAAGAGTTACTATAATATTACAGAATTTTTCATTAAGATCTAGAGTAATGTTGTTGATTCTGAGACTAGGATCCTGAATCTAAATAAAGAAAACTACAGTGGTATAAGGCACAAGCTGGTTGTGATAAATTTGGGACCATTACTTAAAGGGATGACAGTGGATAAGCAATGGCAAATAATTAGAGTGCACGGAGGCACTGTAACCATTGTTCATTCTTGTTTGGCACAAAAATCAAATGGGAAAGGTGGCCCGACAACAGAAACTAGAAATAGTATTAGATTCAAGGAAGGAGCACGCAAAGTAGCCAAACGAGCAGCAGACCTGCCGACTGGGAACAGTTCAGATTTCAGAAGAGGAGGATAAAGGGATTCATTAAGAGAGGGGAAATACACAATATAAAAGTAAGTTTGCAAAAAAACATACAAAGCGATTACAAGAGCTTCCATTGATATGTGAGGAACTGAAGGAAATCAGTATTGGTAACGAAATGGTTCTGTGGAAACAGATGGGATCAAAGGCTGGTAAATCCCCAGGGCCCAATAACCTACATCAGAGCACTTATGAAGTGGCCCTCAAGTATCAGATGCATTGGTGGTAATTTTTCAAGATACTGTAGACTCTGTAACTGTTACTACGGATTGCAGGGACTAATGTTACTTCCACTCTTCAAAAACAGGAGGCAGAGGGAAAATAAGGAATTATAGACTGATTAGCCTGACATCAATAGTGGGAAAATTGCTAGAGTCCATTATAATATATTAAATAGCAGAGCACTTGGAAAACAATAAAAGGGAAATTGTGCTAGACAAATCCAAAGATTTTTTTTGATGTAACTAATCAAGCTATTAAAGAGGAGCCAGTAGATGTAGTTATCTTGGCCTTTCAAAAGGTTTTCGATAAGATCTCACTTAAGAGGTTAGCATGTAAAATTAAAGCATATGGGATAGGGATCGTGTACTGACATGGATACAGAACTGGATGGCAAACAGGAAACAAAGGGCAGGAATAAGTTTCAGAGATAGTAGGAACTGCAGATGCTGGAGAATCTGAGATAACAAGGTGTAGAGCTGGATGAACACAGCAGGCCAAGCAGCATCAGAGGAGCAGGAAGGCTGACGTTTCGGGCCTAGACCCTTCTTCAGAAAATG